TGGGGCTGGAGAGATGGCTCAGTGGTCTAAAGCACCTACTTAGAACAAGCTTAGCAAAGCACAGGGACTGTAGTTCAATCCCCCAGCACCACATGCCAGCCAGCCTCGCCCCCTGGTGGGCTGAGCTGGCCACAGACACACACACACACACACACACATATGCAAATAAAAAATAATAATAATAAAAAAATTCATTTCACCAGACATGTTGGAAGGCTGAAACAGGAGGATTGAGAGTTTGAGGTCAGACTGGGCAATTTAGTGAGGCCCTGTGTCGAAATATAAACAATATTAAAAAAAAAAACCAAAAAACTTAGCAGTGACTAGATTGTATCACCAATATAATACAAAAACAAAAACCTAAGCCTAAAAAGTAGTGGTCAGGGCAACCACTACTCTACTTCCTGTCTCTGTGGATTTGCCTGTTCTGCACATAACCTTTCATGAGATCATGTTATGTGGGCCTTTGTGACAGACTTCCTTCACTTGGCATAATATTGGCAACGTTCTTCTGTGTATAGCATATACCATTACCTCTTTTATTCATAGTGCAGAAAAGTTGTTCCATTATGTGAATAGAACCCATTTATCCATTTGGCTTATTTGGGTCAGGGACATAGCTCAGTGGCACAGTTCTAGCCTGACAAGCACAAGGTCTTGAGTACAAGTCCCAGTACAAAAAAAAAAAAAAGTGGGTTGTTTTCACTTTTTGACTACTTCAAATAACAATAATCTAAGTGATTTGATTTTTGGTTTTGAGATAGACACTTACTATGTAGTTGCAGCTGGCCTTACCTCATTGTACTCCTCCTGCCTCAGCCTCCTGAGTACTGGGATTACAAGGATGAGCCATATCATGCCTGGCATGGATAATGATATGGATAATGATAAATAAATTTTATATAAATATAAAAGTTATATTATGAGTTTCTGGCCATGGGATATAGCTCAGTGGTAAGGCACTTTTTTTTTTTTTTAATTTTTTACTTTTATTTGTGTGTGTGTGTGTGTGTGTGTGTGTGTCCAGCTCAGCCCACCACGGGGCGGGGCTGGCTGGCATGTGGTGCTGGGGGATTGAACCGTGGTCCCTGTGCTTTGCTAAGCTTGTTCTAAGTAGGTGCTTTAGACCACTGAGCCATCTCACCAGCCCTGGTAAGGCACTTTTAACTAGGTTCCATCCCCAGCACTAAAAAATAAAAGTGTGTTACCAGTTTTTGTTTTTAATCTCATTTAGATAAAGTGCCATTTTTATTACATGGCAAAGTAGAATGTTAGCTTCCCATTACATTGTCTCATAACATCGCGTAGTTGGTGGACTTAACACAGCTGTAGTACAAAGCCCTGCTCGAGTAGTAAAGTACCATGACTCCTTTTCCAGGGTGCAGCCAGCTGCTTGAAGGCAGAGGTTTGGTCTCCCAATCTGAGCCCCTGAGATGGTGTCCAGCATGGGACAGACTCACTGTCTTGTCTAATGAGTTCTTACCTGCCCTTTTTGGTAGGTTAAAAGAAGATCGTTTCATTTTTAACCAGCAACTCAAATCACCGTCTGTGTGCTACCAGCTTGTCTTCTTTTATTTTCTTTTATGCTTTTATTTTGTGCATTTCTATCCCACACTTGCTTCTAACATTTGCTTATTGTCAGTGTTCATTATCAATATCCTGAATTTGGGAGTATTATTTAAATAAAACAGTTTGCCTAAGCAGTTAATATTAAGGTAGTATAGTTTTGTGTTCATTTAATTTAACTGTGTATTTGTTTTATAGGAAACAGTTAATACTGTTATTTAAATGTGTATCTCTATAAACAGCAGACTAGAGTTAAAGGATTTCCTGGTCTCTTGATCTCATGAATAATTTTTTGGAGGCTATATTTAGCTTTTTGGATATTGTGAAAGAAAAAATTTAAGAAGTACTTTTAAGGGGGCCAGGGAAATAGCTCAGCAACATAAACACCTGCCTGGCAAGTGCAAGGTCCTGAGTTCTATCTCTGGTACCACAAAAAAAAAAAAAAAGAAAGAAAATGTACTTTTAAGCTATAAACTGTTTCTAAAAATATAACCACTGTACAGGGACATAGTTCAGTGGTAGAGCACTTGCCTCACATGCATGAGGGCCTGGGTTTGATCCCCAGCACCACACACACTCTTAGCCATGGTCATTCTAAAGAAGTCTGTCGTATCCCCAGCACCACACACACTCTTAGCCATGGTCATTCTAAAGAAGTCTGTCGTATCTGTAATCCCAGTGATTTGGGAGGCTGAGGCAGGAGGATTGCAAGTTTGAGGCC